GAGAAAACCCCCCAAAAAAAAAAAAAAAAAGGCTGAAGTCGGCCAGCCAATGGCATAGCAGTTACATTGCTGGACTCCTACATGGCCAACCACGGTTCAAGTCCTGGACCCAGTGGCTTCAAAATCACACTAGGTGGGTGACGTGGCGGTGAAGGGCACTGGACTCCCACATGGCCAACCGTGGTTCAAGTCCCAGACCTAGCAGCTTGCTTTCTCGCCTCATTCCCCTGCCTTGCTCTGTTCCTCTCTGGTCAGATTAAAATAAAGTTAAATAAAATATTTTAAAAAAATCACACCAAGCGTGTGTGTGCGTGCATGGCCAAGGTCAGAAGGAGAATGGAGGAGAAGAGATTGCAGTGTGGCCACCCCCCCACAGGGGGTGATTTCTCACTTTCCTTTTTTTTTAAGTTTTTTTAATTTTTAAATTTTATTTATTCATTCACTTATTTAATTTGACCACAGAAAGATAGATACACAAAGACAAGGAAAACGAGAAAGCAAGCCACAAGGTTTGGGACTTGAACTGTGGTTGGCCATGTGGGAATGTCCAGCACCTTAACCATCATGCCACCTGGTGGCCCTAATTTCTCACTTTCCTTCTGTCTTTGTCTCTCTCTCTCTGGAGGATGCACATATCCTAAGGCAAAAATCTCTCAAAAAATAAAATAAAATTGGCTTAAGTCAAAGAAAGGAGGTATCTATCTATCAATTTACATAGCTGAAAAGCCCAGGAGTGTGTTGGTTTCAGACACAGTTGGGTCTAGGGGCTCATTGTCACTATTGGACAGCCCCTCCTTGCAGATGTCGGATGTCGTGGTAGATCCTTCCCCACCCATCTGCAGACATTCATGCCCCTCAGTAGCCCTAGGAAAGAACATCTTTTGGTTAGCAATTGCAAACTGTCTCTAATTTGGAAACAGTTAGAAATTGGTTCAGCTTGGAAGCAATCACTCTGGCCAGGAGAAATGGAAGGGAGGAGTCAACTAAACCCATGGACAGTGTGGACAAAGGGGATTTTCTCAAAGGCAGCTGGTGTTGTCTCCCAAGGGCCACCTAAACACCCTACTGAGCATGAGAGGACTGATTAAAGACTCACAAAAGCCAGGGAAGTTGGAGGGAGGAACAGGCTCCAGGTCCAACCACATGGGCCTGAAGCCTCATACTGGCCCCCTAGGCAGGTGGATTCGTGTCCTGGCTAACGAGTGCATCAAGAAGTTGTGCCCTGTGCCTTTCCATAGCAATGGCTCTGAGTACATATTGGCCCTCACCACTGGCAAGAATGAAGGTTATGTGCACTTTGGGACCATCACAGGTAAGGGGAGTGGGGTGCTGGCAGCCCAAGAGGCCCCTCCATACTCTCTCATCCCCAAGAATTGTGACTTCGGGCTCTCATTCCTCACCATGTGCCTTCAGAGATCCTAGGGTTGTTACTCTGAGGGGAGGAAGTGGGTTTATGCTTTTGTAAGGGTAGGGCTTAGAGGTATGTATCTTTCACATATTTGGTTTAAAAGAGCAAAAGCCTTATTAAGAATAATTTATTTATTCAAATAATTTGTGGACTTAATATGAATGAAAAGGCCAGGGGTCAACATCAGGCATGGCTGGACCCAGGGGCTCACAGACTATGTCATCAGGATTCTATCTCTTGGCAAGGTAATACAGCAAATTCTGGGGAGTGACTGCTTCATTACACCCTTGCTGTCTGGCTTTAAACAAGTGACTTGCTCTGACCTGCTCTTCCTCATCCACAAAAAGGAACCAATTAAAAAAAACAAAGGGAGACCAGCAGTTGGCGTAATGGCCATGCTGCTGGATTCCATGTAGTTAACCACGGCTTGAGTCCCAGACCCGGTGGCTTAAACTCACGTGTGTGTGCCCAAGATCCGAGAGGAGAATGGAGGAGAAGGGATTGCAGGGTGTCCATCCCTCCTGGGGGGTGATTTCTCGCTCTCTGTCTGTCTGTCTGTCTGTCTCTTTGGCAAGCACATGCGCCCTATAGGAAAAACCTCTAAAAAAAAATGGAACTAATTACAGACTAGTATCTACTTCATTGAGTTAATAAAAACTTTTTTTTTTCAAAAAAGATTTATTATTTTAATTTGACCAGAGAGAGAGGGAAAGTGAGAAAGCAAGCCATCGGGACTAGAACTCAAAACATGGTCAGCCATGTGTCCAGTGCCTTAATAATCACGCCACCTGCCGGCTCCTAATATAAGGATGAAATAAGTGAGGGGCTAGCAGGTGGCATGGTGGTTAAGGCACTGGATTCCCACATGGCTGACCGTGGTTCAAGTCCCAGACCTGACGACTTGCTTTTTCTTTCTGTCTGTTTCTTGTCAAATTGAATAATAACAATAAATAATAAGTCATTTTTAGAAACACAGTAAATGGATGTGAATACCTGATACAGTGTGTGTGAAAGAGTAGAGTCTGAGGAAGGACATTTAGAAGGAAAAAAGAGAGGCAAAGCACTAATGGGACAAAGAAATGTGGTATTATGTGTTGAAGATAATTTTATAGTTTTATCAACTAGACAAGGGAGAAATGTTTACAAGTTGGAATATTCACTTTGTAGGCTAAGTAATGTGATTGAATGTTTAAAAGAAAATGAAATAAAATATTTTTTTAAAAAAGATGAAATAAGTTACAGGCCGACACGTGGCGTGGCAGTTAAAGGGGCTGGATTCCCACATGGCGGACTGCAGTTAGAGTCTCAGGCCTAGCAGCTTGCTTTCTTCCTTTCCCTTTCTCTGTCTCTCTGGTCAAATTTAAAAATAACAACAACAACAACAACAATAATAATAATAAAAATAAATGGAATTAAATAAATAAATGCTTTAAAAAAGATTAAGTTGGTATATGTAAAAAATTAGAACTGTTGTAAGGACATGATGAATGCTATAAAAGGGTTTATTATGATTAGTCCAATGATTTGCTAGGCACTCAGGGAGTTAAAGGTGGCCCCAGGAGTTCAAGGCTCACATCACCCACCAGTTTGAGTTGCTCCAAGAAAATGAAAACAGCCTCTTCTCCTTGTCCTAACACAAACCCCCGGGTGCACTCCGATTACTCCATTCTGGGTCACATACCCAGACCTGACCTAATTACAGTGATCAGAGACAGATTTTCTCTGATAGGCCAGATGCAAATGACCAGGAGGCCAGAGAGTAAATCTGCTCCGGGACCCCAAGGACTAATTTAGAGGCGTAAGGTGGACAGTCAGGGAGTCAGTTTGCTGGGGTGCCGGATAGACTGGGATAGGATGGGAAGGGCCTGAGCATTTCTCTCCACAGATGGCCAAGTGTCTTTCCAGATGCTGCCCAAGGATGAATCCGTGTGTGCAAGGATGCTAGGTACTCACCTTCTGGATGGGTCTGCCCAGGGAGGCGGGCTGGGGTGGGGGGGGAGCAAGTGTGTGAGAGAGTTGTGTAGGGTGGGAGCAGTCTCGGGGCGGGGCATCCCAGGGAGGGGCGTGGCCGTCTCAGGAAAGAGGCCAGGCATGGGTACCACTCCTTCCTCTCAGCTGGCTCCTGCTCCATAACCTGGGCCCTGTTCCTCGGAGACACAAATGAACTACTGCTGCTGGTGGAGATCGAAGGCCACGCCTCCCAACCGTACTTCCAACTGATCAGATACAGTCTAGGTAATCAGGAGGACTCGGGGCTGGCGCCAAGGGGCAGGAGCCCAGGCTGTGCACTGCACGCCCAGCAGACAGAGAAGGACATGTTGCTCATGTCACTCCTGCATGAGGGGTGGCCATCCCTGAGAACAGGGCTTGGTGGGCTGAGAAACTGAGAGGAAGGCTGTATGATGAAGAAGCAGGGCAGAGGAGAGAGGGAGACTGAGGAGGGGGTCAGAAGCCAGCTCTGGAAGGGCCTGGGGATTTGAGTTGGGACCAACAGGTGGCATGGTGGTTAAGGCGCTGGACACTCCCACATGGCTGACCACAGTTCAAGTCCTGGACCTGGTGGCTTGCTTTTTCACTTTCCCTCTCTCTCTCTCTCTGTGTATCTAACTTTAGTCAAATTTAAATAAATAAATAAATGGATAAATAAATATGTAATTTTTTAAAAAAGGATTTGAGTTGTACAGGCTGTGCGCTGCACAGAACCTCAGCCGAGGCACCGCAGGAGACAAGTCCTATGTCCTAACAGGACTGCCCTCTCAGAGGCAGCGCCTTTCACACATCACAAGAAGGAACTCTAATTGGCTAGCCGGCCTAAGTGAGAAGCCCCTGGAGGGTTTTATGGGGGAGCAGGAGTTGGGAAGCTGATGATTTGCTCCTGCTTTGGGTTTGGGGAGCTCAGGCCTCAGATTTTTCTGTGTTCTCCTCCCATTTAGCCACAGATAACCTGGAAATCCTCTACAACCTCCCAGAATTTATCCCTGATGGTAAGAAGGGAAGGCAAGAGGTTTCAAAGGTAGGGAGGGTTTGGGAGGGGACAGGAGGGGCCCGGTGGCCCCACTTCATGGCTGTGTGTCCTCTCCTCCTCTGTTCCCTTCAGCTCGAGGCTTGGAGTTCCTGATGATATTAGGGGTGGAGTCTTTTACCAGCACCCCAATGATCCCCAAGGGCTTATCCTATAACCCGTACTCCAGCCTGCTGTTCATCTGGGGCAACTTCCTCCTGCTGAGGTAGGTCCCCATGACCTGCCCTGGCACTGGCATCTTCTGCCTGCCCAGCCCTATTAGGATTTGGCCCTTCTCAAAGTCAGGTCACAAAAAGATGGCCAAGTTCAGGAGTTCTCAGGACTGTGAGGGAGAGAACAGGGCTGGGGAGTCGGGACCAGGATGGAGGAAGCCAGTATTTTACAGCTGTGGGAGCCCCCTTTCCTCAAATAAAATGTCATGTAAGGCCCTACTCTCTGTGAGCAATAGAAGAGCATTTTCTGGGAACAGGTTAAGGACCTCTCTTACCCTCAGGGACCTAGGATCTCCTGAGCCACCACCATGGGTGGTTAGCAAGCTGCCAGGTTGGCCCAGCGCAACTGTTTTACAGATGGGGAGATGGAGACACTAAGGGCGGAAGATCCCCTAGGGGGATTGGGGAGGGGGCAGAAGCCAGGATTCCACCTTCCTTTGCACATGCCCACAGGCTAGTGAAGAAACTGGTTCTCTAAAGGGTCCCAGTGTTACACAGGCCTGGAGCTGGGGCAAGCAGACATTCAGTGTGTTCTACTACCCTTGGGCCCCCTTGTCTCCATCTCTGTCCCCTGCAGCTACGACAGTGAAGACTTCATCTACCTGGCAGACTTCCCCAAGGAACAGTTCATCAAATACCTGGTCAGCTCCTTCCGTGGGGACATGGTTATTGTCACGGAGAATGAGGAGGTGAGCTGCCCAGCCCCTCTCCCCACTTCTCTCTGCCTACCCACAAATGCCAGGGCCACTCCTTTTCCCTTGTCAGGGTAAAGGGACTCAGGGAAAGGGGGTACCACAGGAACCCTGGAGAAGAGTAGCAGATGCTCCATTTATAGCTAAGAACCCTGGAACTTGGTATAAACTTCTGTCCAAAGTCACACAGCAAAGTGACGCCTGAGCCATGATGTGATTTCCAGAGGAGGCTGTCTTCCTTCCTCCTTCCTTCTTTTTTTTTTTTTTTTGAGAGGTTTTTCTTACACCCCCCATGCGCTCGCCAGAAAGATGGAAACAGAGAGATAGAAAGCGAGAAATCACCCCCCAGGGGGGATGGCCATGCCGCAATCCCTTCTCCTCCATTCTCCTCTGGGGATCTTGGGCGCACACGCACACACGCCCGGCATGAGTTTAAGCCACTGGGTCTGGGACTTAACCACGGTCGACTACGTGGGAGTCCAGCGACATAGCCATTACACTAACTGCTGGTCTCATCCTCCTTCCTTCTTTTGTTCCTCCTTCCCTCCCTCTTCTCCTCCCTTCCTTCCTCCTCTCCTCCCTTCCTTCCTCCTCCTCCTCCTTCCCTCCTTCCTTCCCTTCCTTCCTCCCTCCCTTCTTCCCTTCCTCTTTTTTACCCTCCCTCCTTCTTTCCTTCCTGTCTAGGTTTTTGCCATAGGGGACATGCACTCACCAGAGAGAAACAGAGAGAGGAAGTGAGAGATCATCCCCTGGGGGATGGCCATGCCACAGTACCCTCTCCTCTGTTCTCTTGCGATTTGGGGCATGCACGCACACATGCCTTGCATGACTTTCAAGTCGCAGGGTCTGAGACTCAAACCAGTTTGCCATGTGGAAGTACAGATCCTTAACCTCCATACCACTGGCTAGGCCTGAGGCCATCTTTCATTCCATCAACACTGAGCACTTGCTGTTTGCCTAACCCAGTGCTGGGGACACAGTCAGCCCTGGGTCCTGTTCTCTCAGGGTCAGTCTGTTGGAAAGACAGACTCAACCCCAGACATTGATAGTTCAGAGTGGGTAGGGCCACAGTGGGGAAAACAACACCTACAGAAGTTCATAGGAGGGTCCTGATCCAGTCAGGTATATGTATTCAAAGAGGGCTTCATGGAGGAGACCACATGGAGAGAGGACAAAGTCCTGGAGGCTGAGGCTCAGGAAGGAGAAGTGAGGTCTAGTGTCTGATGTGTGTGGGGATGGATATCAGTGCAGAGATGGGAAACTGAGGCCAAGGTGAGCGCCTAAAGGCTGCTAAGAGTGAGGAGAACCAAAGGGCTCAGCCTTAGGAACCCTGGCTTTTAGAGGGTGTATGTGCTATGAGTGCTTAGGCCGCAAATAACAGAAACTCAAGCAGAACAAAATAGTGAGCAGGGTTATCATGGCAGGTGAGGGCTGGAGCTAGAGGTGGCCAGGCTCTGAGAGGCCGAGAAAGAGCTCCAGAGGGAAGGTTCAGAGGCTCACCTGGGCCCGACAGGAGGCAAGCTCTTATGCTTCCCACTCAAACAATGGGACCACCACATTAGGCAGAGGAAGAGGCAGGGTCAGTGGTCCCCACGGCCACAACTCACATACACCCTGTCTTCCCATCAGATTTGGTACTACCAGGAGAGCAGCTACCGGGTGTATCAGCTGTTCCCGTCCAAGGGCTGGGAGGTGCACCTCAGCCTGCAGTTGATGCATCAGTCCTCTGAATACGCCTCCAATACTACCATGCTCACCCTCTTCTATGAAGACAGCGAACTGTACCAGGTGCCAGGCGGGAGCTGTGGGGCACCTGCAGGCCCTGCAGAGTGGCTGACAACAGCTCTTCTGGCTCTGCCTTCCTCCTGCAGCTGGTGTACCTCCAAGATGGCAGTGAGGGCCGGCTGACCAAGAGACTCTTGCCTGTGGAGAAGATTCTGTCGTACCAGCAGTTAGAAAACCACTACCAGCTGAAGCAGCAAGGGTGAGAAGATACCAGACCACAACCGCAGTCTGAGGGGCGCATCAGGAAGGGCTTCCAAGAGGAGGTGGTACAGAAGCTGTGACTTAAAAGAGTGAGAAAGACTTAGCAGGTGATGAGGTGGAGAAGGGTGAAGGCAGGGGGGACCACATGGGTAGAGACTGAGGAGCAAAGGAGGTTGAGTATTCAGGAATGAGGAGAAAGTCCTGTGCAAAAGAGTGCACTGGTGACGAGAGGACAAGGTGAGCCTGGTGGTCACAGGGTAGAACTCCAACTTCCTTTTGAGGGTCCAGGAGAGTCATGGGTGGAACCAGAGGGTCAGATTTTACCATGTTCCATAATGAGCCTCCTGGTCTCCTGCAGAGGGATGTCACTAGGGAGGAGCCCTGGGAGACAACTGGAGGTGGGGCCAGGTGAGCAGAGGGGGAAAGGGAAGGCGAACCAGATGCTCAGGAAAGCAAGTAGGTAGGAAAGTGGGCGTGCAGGACTCCGGCACGAGGACCTGGGGGAGGTGAGGAAGACCAGGGCTGGCCCAGACCGCAGAATTCGCAGTGCAGACGTGGTTAGTGAGACCTGCCAAGGCGCCTGGTGTGCCATGCCTGGCGTCCAAGAGTCAGTCACCGTCTCCCACTGCCACATGCAGGAACTACTCAGCTCTGACCTTCACCAACCTCTGCCCCTTCACGGTGCTGAGGCTGCGGGATCTGCCCAAACCGCAGAGATTTACGCGCCAGGAGCGCTACCGCGCGCGGGCACCCTATGTCTTGGACCTCTCAGGCTTCCACAGTGAGGACTCGCTAGCTGTCTACCAAGGCCTGGTCTACTACCTCCTCTGGCTACACTCCAAGTATGACAAGGTGGGCGCCCAAGATGGGCAGGGCTGTCCCGAGGCTGCGTCTTGTCTGGGTCAGACGGAGCCGCACCTGCTTGGAGGGCAAGGCCACTGGAAAAGTGCAGTTGGGTTGGAGAGTCTGAGGTTATTCTGTGTGTATGTGGTGCGGGGGAGTTGGACAGACAGGGAGGGAAGGGCAGGAGGCAGGACCTGGCTTAAGAAGAGTCTTTTTCTTTTTTTCTTTCTTTTTTGAGAGTGTTTTTCCTATAGGGCTCGTGCGCTCGCCAGAAAGACAGAGAGAGAGAGAAAGTAAGAAATCACTCCACAAGGGGGATGGCCATGCCACAATCCCTTCTCCTCCATTCTCCTCTGGGGATCTTGGGCATGCACACACACACACATACACACACACACGTCTGGCGTGAGTTTAAGCCCATGGGTCCAGGACTTGAACCACAGTCGACAACATGGGAGTCTCGCAACATAGCCATTACACCAGCTGCTGGTCCCAGAGTCTTTTTCTTTTTTCTCTTTCTTCCTCTTTTTTTTGCTATAGGGTGTGTGCACTCGCCAGACAGACAGAGAGACAGAGAGACAGAATGCGAGAAATCACCCCCCAGGGGGGATGGTCACGCCACAATCCCTTCTCCTCCATTCTCCTCTCGGGATCTTGAGCACTCACGCACACGTGCCCGGCGTGAGTTTAAGCCACCGGATCTGGGACTCGAACTGCGGTCAACTACATGGGAGTCCAGCGACATAGCCATTACGTAAACTAACTGCTGGTACCTCTCAGAGTCTTTTTCTTTTAAAGCCTAGGTTTTGTTTTGCTCTTGAGAGAGATTTTTGATATAGAGCATATGTGCTTGCAGGAGAGACACAGACAGACAGTAAGAAATCACCCCCCAGGGTGGGGTGGCTACACTGCAATCCCTTCTCCATTTTTCTCTTGGGATTTTGGACACACACACACACACACACACACACACATACACTTGCACTTGCACCTGGCATGAGATTTTCATTTGTTTTTAGAGAGATTTTAGCTATAGGGTGCATGTGCTTGCCAGAGAGACAGACAGAAAGCGAGAAATCACCCCCCAAGGGGGCTGGCCATGCTGCAATCCCTTCTCCTCTAGGGATTTTGGGCACACACGCACATGCTGCTGGGTCTGGGACTTGAACTGCCATGGACTACATGAGAGTCCAGTGATGTAACCATTACACCATCTGCTGGTCCCTAAAGCCTAGGAGTTTTTTGTTTGTTTTTATTTTTTATTCAGAGAGACACCCCCAACAGGGTCCCCACACCAGGCTCATTCACCCCCTAGCCTTAGCCAGCCACACCTTCCTATGTGGGTCAGTCGCACTACTACTGCTGCGCCACCTTCTGGCCCCTTCAGCACTGCTTTGAAGAGAGGCTTCAGGGTTGTAGGTTGAAAGTAGGGTCTGGCCAGCAGGTAGTGTGGTGGTTAGTGGTGCTGGACTCCTACATGGTCAATCTATGGTTTGAGTCCTGGGTCTGGCAGCTTGCTTTCATGCTTCCCCTCTCTCTCACCTCTTTCTGTCTCTCACTGGTCAAATTAAATTAAATAAATAAAGTTAAATAATTTTAAAGAAAAGAAAGAAAGAAAGTAGGGTCTGGGGGCCGGCCAGGGTATATATCTTCTATTTTCATTTAGCGGCTGAAACCGAGGTAAGGAAAGGGTCCAGGGGTGACGCGTTCTTAGGGACCACGCCCCCACTGCTCACAGTGCCCGGTGGTCTTTGCAGCCTTATGCAGACCCGGTGCACGACCCCACATGGCGCTGGTGGAAGAACAAGAAACAGGACAAGGTACGTGGTGAGGGCTGGAGGTTGGAAAAGGGGTGGTGCCAGTATCCGCCCCACCTTCGTGCCCTGCCCCCGCCGAGCTGACTTGGCCCGTTGCACGCGTCCCCAGGATTATTACTTCTACCTGGCGAGCAACAGGCGCAGTGTGGGTGGCGTGCACATTGACATGGACAGCTACGAAAAGATTTACGACCTTAAGTCTGAGTCCAAGCTGCCCAAACACATTTTCCTGGACAAGGGCACAGTATACAGCTTCTCCATCCTTTTGTCTTCGCGGGAGCACAATTTCAAGGCGAAGCCAACTTTTGGTCGGTGGGCGGGGCCTGAGGTGCCTGAGGGGCGGGGCTTATGGCAAGCCTGAGAAAATACGCATTAACCCCTCCTGTGCCCGAGTAGGAACGGCTTTCCAGGTAGAGAGCCAGTTGGAACTTGGCGTGGTGCTGGCCCACCCGCGCTGCATCGATGTCGAGGTGCTTCAGAAGGTCTTTATTAATCGCAACTCAGTGTTATTCTCGGTGAGTTTTGGAGGGGAGAAGGTACTAAGTTGGGGGCTGGGCCACTGGCGGTGGGGGCTGTTACAGCTAGTCCTGCCTGCCACCACTCCGTCCAGCTATGGGTTATTTGGACCCTTCCTGGGTCCTCGAACAAGCTGTTTACGCCCTAACTTCTCCCCTCCCGCCATTCAAGATTAAGATCAAGGATAAAATGCTTTGCTATGACCAAGGCCTTAGTGGACATCACCTCATGAAGACCTCCATGACACTCAAGGTACGATTCCCGTCTGGAGGGGAGGGGTGCGGGGTTAGGAGAAAGCCCATGGGGACCCCCAGCACTGTCACTTGCTCTTACCCTCAGGTGGTGGGTACTTCCGGGAACTGCTTCAAGAGCACGAACGTGGGGGACAGCATGCAAGTACTGGAGCTTGGAGTCTGGGACCCTGTGCTGGGAAGGGAGGAGTTGGGTTGGGCCTCAACCGGGGTGATTCCTGGTGCTTGCTCTCCCCGGGATCCCAGCAATGCGTTCGTTCATTCGCCATTTCCTTCCTTCTCATTCATTTCCGTCCTTCATCTGCCCACCACTCACTCCTCCGACCCCTGTATTGACCAAGGAGTGTCCCTTCACAACTGTGTGGGTTGTGCACAAACTTGTGCGCTCCTCCTGGTGCTTTCCCGCCCGGGAGTACGATGTCTGAGAGACAGGCTGCTTTCCTCAGCTGACACAGGCGGCACAAGGGCTGGCGTGGCCCTTTCATACAGTACCTCCACCTGCACTGACATGCTCTTCGTTCGATTTCTTTTGGTCCTCGAGTCTTCTGTTCCTCTTGAAACAGAAGCAGACACTGAGGCTCAGAGGAGAGGGGTTAGCTGGCTCACGATTCTATAGGCTAAAAGTCCAGAAGCATCTGCTTGGTTCTGCCAACATCTGCTCGGCTCTGGTAAGGGCCATGTGCTACTTCATCTCAGTTACTGAGAACTCACTCCTGGAGTTGGCATTGAGGGGGTCACCCCCATGTCCCACACACGTCCCAACTCTGTGGCATTAGCTGTCAAATTTCAATATACGTTTTTGTGGACACACTCAAACCATAGCAAGCCTAAACTGCTAGAGGACTGGACATGTCATTAACCAAAATGGGCGCTGGACAGACCGAATCTGAGGTGCCCATTAGGCCACTTAGTGAATGAGTGATTAATATATAAAGTCTTGGCCTGGGCCTAGCATGGAAAGCACTTAATCTATTGCTACTGACCCCTTTCCCCAGCTGTCATCAAGCCTGGGCCACCATCTTTGGTTGTCCATGTCCCTTTGACCACTGGGTGAAACTGTTATGTCTTAACCCATTAAAATGGCCCTGGGACAGGACCAGCAGTTAGCATAATGGCTATGTCACTGGATTCCCACGTAGTCGACCACGGTTCGAGTCCCGGACCTGGTGACTTAAACTCATGTCGGGCACATGTGCGTGCGTGCCCAAGGTCCCGAGAGGAGAATAGAGGAGAAGGGTTTGCGACGTGGCCATCCCCCCTGGGGGGTGATTTCTTGCTTTCTGTCTCTCTGTCTCTCTCTGTCTGTCTGGCGAGCGCATGCGCCCTATAGCAAAAACCTCTCCAAAA